AGTTGGAGTCTCACTCTGTCGCCCAGACTGGAGTGCAGTGGCCGCTTCCGGCCACCGCAGCCTTGCCTGCTGGGCTCCTGCGATCCTTCCGCCTCAGCCTTCCGAGTAGCTGGAATTACAGGCATGCGCTACCACGCCCGGCTGATTTTTTGATTTATTGTAGAGATGAGGTCTCGCTGCCCAGGCGGGTCTCGAACCCGCGGGCTCAGGAAATTCACTCACCTCAGCCTCCCAAAGGCGCGGGATTACAGGCTGAGCCACCGAGCCCGGCCTATTGTTTTTAAAATGAAAAAACTAGGCCAGGCACAGTGGCTGATGCCTGTAATCCAAGCACTTTGGGAGGCCAAGGCAGGAAGATTGCTTGAGACCAGGAGACCAGTCTGGGCAACATAGTGAGACCTCGTCTCTACAAAATATCAAAAAATTAGACAGGTGTGGTGTCACATGCCTGTAGTCCCAGCTACCAGGGAGACTAAGGCAGAAGAACTGCTTGAACCCAGGAGGTCAAAGCTGTGGTAAGCTGTGCTCATGCCACCATACTCCAGACTAGGTGTATTCAAAAAACAAAGCAGGCCGGACTCATTGGCTCAGCTTGTAATCCTAGCACTTTGGGAGGCTAAGGCAAGTGGATTGCCTGAGCCCGTGGGTTCGAGACCAGCCTAGGCAATTTGGCGAGACCTCATCTCTACAAGAAATCAAAAATTAGCTGGGCATGGTAGTATGCACCTGTAGTTCCGGCTACTTGGAAGGCTGAGGCGGAAGGATCGCCAGAGCCCAGCAGGTTGGCGCTGGGGTGGCAGTATGTGTGCCACTGCACTCCAGCCTGGGCGACAGAATGGGATTCCAACTCAAAAACAACAACAACAATAACAAAAACAAAGTAAAACCAAACCACCCCCCCCCCAAAAAAAAACAGTGATTCTCAGCTGGGTGCAGAGGCTCATGCCTGTAATGCCAACACTTTTGGGAGGCTAAGGTAGCAGGATCACTTGAGTCCAGAAATTTGAGGCTGAGGTGAGCTGTGATTGTGTCACTGCACTCCAGTGTGGGTGACAGAGTGAGACTCCAACTCAAAACAAACAAACAAACAAAAGAGGCAAAACAAAAAAATACAGTGATTCTCAGCTGGGTACACTGGCTCATGCTTGTAATGCCAATACTTTTGGGAAGCCAAGGTAGCAGGATCACTTGAGCCCAGGAGCTTGAGGCTGAGATGAGCTGTGATTGTGCCACTGTACTCCAACCTGGATGACAGAGTGAAACCCTGTCTCAAAAACAAAACAAAACAAAAACAGTGATTCTATAACTGTCCTTCCAGGCAGGATTGCCTTGCTTTGTTGGCTGGAAAACTCCTTTGTTAGTGACACAAACGGGCATAGACTACCGATAGCTCAGGGAGTCTACAGAAAGTTACAGAGGAAGACTCTAAAAATTGCAGAACTGAAAAAGGTCTTAGAGTTCAACATAGTAATTTTTTTTTTTTTTGAGCTAGAGTATCTGTTGCCCAAGCTGGAGTGCAGTGGCACACTCATGGTCACCCCAATGTTGACCTGCTGGGCTCTGGCAATACTTCCACCTCAGCCTTCCAAGTAGCCAGAACTACAGGCACACACTACCACACCTGGCATTTTTATTTATTGTAGAGATGAGGTCTCGCCAAGTTGTCCAGTATGGTCTCAAACCTGCAGACTCAGGCAATCCACTTGCCTCAGTCTCCCAAAGTGCTGGAATTACAGGCTAAGCCACCGAGCCCAGCCTAATATTTTTTAATATATTTTATTTTTATTTTTATTTTTTGAGTTGGTGCCTCACTCCGTCACCCAGGTTGAAGAGCAGCGGCATGCTCAAGGCCACCCCAGCGACAACTCGATGGGCTCAGGTGATCATTCCACCTCAGTCTTCTAAGTAGCCGGAACTACAGGCTCACACTACCATGCCCGGCTAATTTTTTTACATTATTGTAGAGATGAAGTCTTGCCAAGCTTGCCAAGTTGCCAGGCTGGTCTCAAAACCATGGGCTCAGGCAATCCTCTCACCTTGGCCTCCCAAAGTGCTGGAATTACAGGCTTGAGCCACTATGCCTGGTCTAACGCACTAATTTTTATTTTTTTGAGTTGGAGTCACACTCTGTCGCCCAGACTGGAGTGCAGTGGCCTCTCCCGGCCACCGCAGCCTCGACCTCCTGGGCTCCGGTGATTCTTCCGCCTCAGCCTTCTGAGTAGCCAAAACTACAGGTGCGCGCTACCACACTCGGCTAATTTTTTTATTTATTGTAGAGATGAGGTCACGCCTCCCCAGGCGGGTCATGAACCCGCGGGCTCAGGCAATCCACTCACCTCAGCCTCCCAAAAGCGCGGGATTACAGGCTGAGCCACTGAGCCTGGCTTCTAACACATTAATTTTAACAGGGATTAAGAGAAGGAAAGTGACTAAGGGTTACAGAGCTTGGGCCAGAACAAATGTCTTCTGATGGTCTATCTGATGGCTTTTTCATTACAATATACCTATCATTATCCCTCTCCCAAGTGTCCAATCTAACCTTGATGACCACTGATAAATTGGGTTCTACAATGGAACTTCTCTATTACTTAGTACCTGATAAACATCCAATCAGTTACACTCGTAAAACATTCTGCTCACTATTTGTGATATAATAAGAAATGTAATTCAGTCTCTGTTCCTGGTTCCTGGAACATAGCTCCCAAAACATTTGCATCTCTCTTTGTATACCAATGAAATGACTGGTATCTGGGGGGTCCTTTGAGCTTTAGAATAGGGAAAGACCAAGGCATGATTAGAGAATTGGGTCTTTCAGCCTTTCGCTCCAACTTCCAAGGAGTGGAAAGGGGCTGAAGGCTGATCATCAAAGGTCAATGAGGTAATCAATCACATCTACATAACGGAGCCTCCATAAAAACCCAAAGGACAGGGTTCAGATCACCTTAGATCATTAGAGGTTCCTGAGGGTGGTGCACCTGGAGAAGGCATGGAAGCTTCACACTCTTTTGCACATACTTTGCCCTATGCATCTCTTCCATTGGCTGTCTCTCTCCATCCTTTGAAATAACTCTTTTTTCTATTTTTTATTTTTTGAGTTGGAGTCTCACTCTGTCACCCAGGCTAGAGTGCAGTGGCACGCTCACAGCTACTGTAGCCTTGACCTGCCGAACTCAGAAGATCCTTCTGCCTCAGCCTTCCAAGTAGCTGGAACTACAGGCGTGCAGCACCAGGGCCGGCTAATTTTTGATTTATTTTAGAGATGAGGTCTCACCAAGTTGCCGGCTGGTCTCGAACCTATGGGCTCAGGCTATCCTCTCATCCCGGCCTCCCAAAGTGTTGGGATCATAGGCCTAAGCCACTGTGTGCCTGGGCCTTCTTTTTTTTTTTTGAGTCGGGGTCTCTCTATTGGCCAGGCTGAAGTACAGTGGCATGCTCATGGCCACCACAGCCTTGACCTGCTCAGTTCAGGCAATTCTTTCACCTCAGGCTTCCAAGCAGCTGGAACTACAAGCACATGCTACCACACCCAGCTTATTTTTTGGTTTACTGTAGAGACGAGGTCTCACCAAATTGCCCAGGCTTATCTCTGAGCTCAGGCAATCCACTCACCTCAGCCTCCCAAAGGCGTGGGATTACAGGCTGAGCCACCAAGCCCGACTCAGGTTTTTTTTTTTTAAGTTGGAGTCTCACTCTGTCTCCCATGTCAGAGTGCAGTGGCACTCTCATGGCCACCACAACCTCGACCTGCTGTGCTCAGGCAATCCTTCTGCTTCAGCCTTCCAAGTAGCTGGGACTATAGGTGTGTGCCCCATGCCTAGGTAACTTTTTGATCTATTGTAGAGACAAGATCTTGCCATGTTACCCAGGCTGCTTTCGAACCTGTGAGTTCAGGCAATCCTCTCGCCTCAGTCTCCCAAAGTGCTGCGATTGCCCGGCTTGTAACAACACTAATAATAAACCCAGTAAGCAAGTAGGCATGGTGGTTCACGCCTGTAATCCCAGCACTTTGGGAGGCTGAGGTGAGAGGACTGTCTGAGCTTAGGGGTTTGAGACCAGTCTGGGCAACGTGGCGAGACCTCATCTCTACAATCAATCAAAAAATTAGCTGAGTGTGGTGTTGCATGCCTGTGGTTGCTTGGTGTGTGCAGAAAACCCCCCCACAGTTACAGAAGTGTTCTATGTTGTATTGAGTGAATGTGTGAGAGTGGGAAAAGCACAGTGGTTTTTTTCCTATGTCTTACACTATAAAGCACCAAGAACAAATAAATTCCTTGCTTGGAATAAAAGTAGTAGGTAGGGCTTAAGAACACTTTCAAGGCTGGGTATGGTGGCTCAACTTTGTAATCCCAGCACTTTGGGAGGCTGAGGCGAGAGGATTGCCTGAGCCCAGGCATATAGTACACGCCTGTAGTTCGAGACCAGCCTGAACAACTTGGCAAGTTCTCGTCTCTACAATAAATTAAAAAAAAAAAAAACTAGCTGGGTGTGGTGGTGTGTATCTGTAGTTCCAGTTACTTGGAAGGCTGAGGTG